CCTAGACAGAAAGTTTTCTAGAGAATAAAGAAGTTATAAAAGCATTCTGCACTGGATCCTGTCCAAATTCATACTACTAAAGTGCATCCTGTTCACTTGGGATGCACTTCACCTGGGTTATTCTCTGGCTCTCTTGGTCTGGGTGTAAATAACAGCACTCCTGTAGCAATACACTGAATGAATAATGATCTTCACAATCAGAAATACCAGATTTCAAACAACCATATAGTTAACCATAAACTGAATAGTTATATACACAATGAGCATATTACAAGGTGATGACACAAAGACTGTCTAGACTTCCACCTAACCGTGTCTCATCTCTTCAGTGTATCCAAGAAATGGAACATACTAGTTACAGGTAATTCCTATGTACTATCAATGCATTTTTTCCACTCCTACTCACTAGATTTAAGTAGGTATAAGAGCTATTTATTCATCTGTTCTGCTATGGCTTTCTTTGAGTTACATCAGAACAGCTTCTAAATCACTCATGCCATATTAATAAATGTCATGGTTTAAACCCAGCTGACAACTAAGCACCACATGGCTGCTTGCTCACTCCCCTCCGGTGGGATGGGGGAGAGAATCGGAAAGGTAAAAGTGAGAACACTTGTGGGTTGAGATAACGACAGTTTAATAGGTAAAGCAAAAGCTGTGCACACAAGCAAAGCAAAACAAGGAATTCAGTCTCCACTTACTATCGGCACACAGGTGTTCATCCATCTCCAGGAAAGCAGGGCTCCATCACGCGTAACAGTTACTTGGGAAGACAAATGTCATCACTCCAAACATCCCCCCCTTCCTTCTTCTTCCCCCAGTTTTATATGCTGGGCATGACGTCATATGGTCTGGAATATCCCTGGGGTCAGTTGGGGTCAGCTGTCCCGGCTGTGTCCCCTCCCAACTTCTTGTGCACCCCCAGCCTACTCGCTAGCTGGGCATGAGAAGCTGAAAAGTCTTTGACTTAGTATAAACACTACTTAGCAACAACTAAAACCATCAGTGTGTTATCAACATTATTCTCATACTGAACCTGAAACACACTACACCAGCTACTATGAAGAAAATTAACTCTGTCCCAGCCTAAACCAGGACACTAATGAACAGTAGAAGGGTGCTTAGCATTTTTTTTTTTCTTTCAGTGAGATTGCTTGTAATAGAAAGCTTCTTGTCTATTGTGTTGTGACTGTCACAGACCCAGTCCTATAAGGCACTGATTCTCAACTAACACCGACTCTGAGGACATTAAGTCTGAACAATGAGCCCTAAATGAGAAGGAATCAGTCTGATAAACTACTGATATAAAGTGAGTCCTGAAAATTCTTATGCAGGTACTAAAATAGATTGATCATGCTATATTTAGTGTTTTTTTCTTGGTGGTCATTCATTTAAATATTAAACATTACTGAATCCACTTTGCTTATAAAAGTTGACAGAGTAACAGCTTGAAACACTATCGCTTCAAGGCACCAGTTCTCCCTATCATGAGAATTTGACATCACTGAGGGGTGAAAGGCCTTTTATTTGCATAAGATAATAGTTACGTTTCTATGCAACAGCTGTGCTGTCAGTGAAAGATGCGCTCACTGTGCCAAATCCATCTCTGGAGTAACCCCATTGATTTTAAATGAGTTACTTTGGGAATAAATTGGCCCACTAGCTAAAATTGCAGGTTTGAGGCATTGAAATAATTGAGCAAGATTTCCGTGATCATAACATGGTAAAAAATTGGAAAACAGTTACATGATATCATGCATTTATGTACCTGACAGATCACAATTGATTTGCCACAAGGTTTTTAAAACTTATAGCTAAAGCAAATGTTTATGTAGAGCTTACAGACACTTTTTGGGAATATGGGAACATTAAGAGGATACAAGAAACAGGAATACAGTATGGTGTCATTATTTCTACTTAGTGTTACTGTAAGTCAAACAAATATGAGATGTCTCCGTAAGATCAGTTTAATAATAAAAGATTCATATGGCCAAATGAGAATTCCTCTTCTTTAGACAGTAACAATCAGGATGTGTTTCTGGTAATGAACTACCTGAAGATTTCACCTCTAGACTGTAGACTTCCTGCATATGTTAGCAGGAATTTAATGCTGTTGGCCTTTCAGTGGCCCGTTTGAGCTTGATGATCTTAGGTGAGTTCTCAGTGGATAGATGTCTGTGGCACAATACCCACCTCATCAGTTAACTGCTGATAGTTATGGCACAAAGACAAAATATTGCTTGGGTTAGGGTGACACAATTGAGTAATATATGTCTGTATGTTAGTTCTTCCCAGTAATGTACAAGGAAGATGCCAGTAAACTGGAAACTCTTTTGAATGCTGAGGAAAAGTTATATACATGCATATATGTTATATGTATGTGTGTATAAATACATAAATAGTTCTTTATTGATACATATTTGATAAGTGATCTTATTGGGTGTTCAGAAGCCTTCTCTGAAGCCTTTTTGGTTATCGGAATTGTTAAAAGATTGCCCAACCATGATTCAAGCAATCACACGTCACAATTAGCAAAGCCTACCCTCACTTTTGTTTCCGTTCAATTTGCAGAAGTATCATCAACAGGAATCCCGAAGCCTGTTCAGAATGCATCATGGTTTGCTTGCAATGGAAATACCTTGTGCTCCTGATGTCATCATTGCAATCATCTCAAATTCAAGTCTGACTGAGCAGGCTCATTATCATTCTCACCATGTCCTCCCTTAGAGCAGCCTCTCCCGCCTCCTCCTGTACAGCACAAAACAAGAGCCACAGGGGTGCTTGGATTAGGGAAAGGAGAGACACCCAGCACCTCCCCCCAAGAAAACTTGCTGCATTACTTCCATCCAGTTTCTTCAAACCACATACTGCTTTACAGGACCTTGCACACCACCACCAAATGAAGGTGTGGATTCGTGAATATTGATTTCCCCTTCCTGTTTAGGGTTGAACAAAGAGTGTGGACAAGCATGGATGTATTTATTTATCTTCTGAATGTGGATATGAAAAGGGTGTGCCAGCCTCCACAGTAAGAGTTTCCTGAGGAGAGCCACACATTTCAGACTGGGTTTTGTTTTTTGTTTTTTGTTTTTGTTTTTTCACTAGGGCAGATTTCTCCCTTTCATCCTACCAGGTTAGCTAAGATCTGAGCAACAGATAGGAAATCAAGACAGGGCATTTGAGCAAAAAGTACAGGGCAAAAAGCAGGGGACAAATTGTCTCAGGCACCAGGTTTAGATCACAGCCACGTTTCCTGAAAATTCAGAAGGTCCTGGCTGTGGACTTCAGGACTGATTCTGATATGGGTCTCTGACCCCTGACCCACCTGAATTTGTGGATCTCTCCCCTAAACCACCCCCAGTGAACGATCCCCTCACACAAGGAGTTGATTTCCACTGTGGAAGAGAGGAGGCAGGACAGGGTTAACCTCACACAGTCTTCCTTCAGGCCCCCAGAGGGGCTGGGGTTTTGTTTTCCTGGCTAAGGAGGGGGAGCTGGGGCATTTATATCGTAACTGGAACTGGAGCCCTTTCTGGTGTTACCAGCCTGTTCTGGGTCTGAGGGAAAGCCTGGAGCAGGAGGGAGAGGAGGGCGAACGCAGACTTGGAAAGCAGCGAGTGTCTGGTAATCGCACAAGGTAAAGCCAAGCGTCCTCCCTTTCCCCGAAGGCCCCCGAGAGCTTAGGGGGGCTCCGGGAGGCCTCCAGCCTCCTGCCCCCAGCCCTCCCGCCCCCTCCCCGCAGCCCGGCCACATCTTCCAGCTCTGCCGTGCCAGCCTTTGCCTCGACGCGAGGTGTCTATCCCTGTCCGCGGCGCGGAGAGCAGCGGGGACAGCAAGGGGAGCGGGAGTCCTCCGGCACCTCTTCGGGGTGCCCGCTCCTGGCTCCCCAGAGCCTGCGGGGGCTCGGCCGGCCGCCCGCCCTCCCCCCCCGCCGCGCTGCAGAGGCTCTGGATGCTGCCGTACTCCTGCCATGTGCCGCCGCCGCCGCTACTGCTGCTCGTAGCTTAGTCGAGCGCGTCTCCGGCCGCAAACTCCGCCAAAGCAGCCTGCATCCTCCTCCGGGGAAGGATACCCAGTGAGTACCAGCCGGAGCCTGCCCCCTCCCTAGGGCACCCCGCCACCGCCTCTTACAAAGGGACTCGCAGCCCCTTCCCCCCGCTTCCTCTCCCCACCCCCCTTTTCAGCCAGCGCAGAGAGGGGCTCCGTGAATTCCCTCCAAAGCTATAGGGTGGCTCCCTCCTCCTCCTCCTCCTCCTCCTCCTCCTCCTCCTCCTCCTCCTGCTCCCGCTCCGGCTCTCCTCGGCGAGCCAGGCTGCTGCTGCACTCAGCCGGGGTGGTCCCCAGCCTCGGCCCAGCCACGCCGCCGCGGCTCACCCCCCACGGCTGACTTTTGTTACCCCTCTAGTGCCCGGGGCTGAAGGGCGGTGGGCTCATTTTCGGGGGGCGGCTGAGGCTAGAGGGTGCGTGCGCGTGTGGGGGGGGCCCCTGGGGGGGCAGGGGGGGCCGGCTGCCCGGCCGAGCCTTGCGAGCCCGCGGGCTCGCCAGCCCGGCTGCCCCCTGCGGTGGGCGCAGCAGCGGGGCCGGGCTGCGGCGGGGACCCCGCCTCCCCGACATCTGCAGGTGGAGTGGGCGAGCCAGCGCGGGAGCCTCCCCGGGAGCCAGCAGCACCCTGCACCCGCTGCCCGTCCCGGCCCGCTCTGTGGCCGCCCCCCCAGACCCTCTCCCGCCCTCGCTCTGTCCCTTCTCCCCCTCTCTGTGCTGGGGCGCCTGCACCCCTCCTCACCTCGCCGGCACAAACCCCTCCGCTCCCCTCCCTTCCCCGCCCCTCCCCACCTTCTTTGATTTATTTGTGTATTTCTTTCCTTGGCAACCACCAGTTCCCCTCAGTCAAACAGCGCAGGCTCCCTATAATTTGAAATTAATTTGTTTGACTGCAGCATTGAGACAGGAAGGTTGGGAATTCATTTAATTCTTTTTCCTCCCTGTGCAAAAAGGAAGCGATGAAATTTCCAATTGAGACTCCAAGAAAACAGGTGAACTGGGATCCTCAAGGTTGGTGACTCTCTATTACTATCATTACTATCATAATAACAATTGTTATTATTCCTTGTGCCTAGTGACTCGTAGGAGACTATTTGACTCCAAGTGGGAGGAGACGTTGGATGCTTGTCTGCTTCCCATGTGCGCCGCTCGGTCTTTCTCGCTCAATCCTAGCAGGGCGTTAGAAAATGCTCCTCAGATGTGGGGTTGGGTGGCTGCGTGGGTAAAACCTCTTCTAGGTGTAAGTTTTATAGTTCTATATTGATATCTCTCTTCCCTCCCCTCCTTTTTCTTGAGTATTTTCATGGCAAACTTGCCTGGGATGGCAGTGATCTCTGGCTGACAGCATTGTTTGTTTTATCTGTGGCTCCTTTGTTGTTTCTAGTGATCATTGTCTCTGTTAAATGGGTGGTACAGGAGTGGACACAGATGTGACTGCTTGCTCAGGGCTCCTCGATGGCACATGTTTGTTGGCAAGTGACTGGAGCAAAATGCTGCTGCAGTATAACCTGTAGTGTGGATGGTATAAAAAGACACACTAAATAATGGAGCCCAAAGGGACCTTTACGCTCTTCACTCTGTCCTGTTAACAATTGATCAGCCCAAGTGGATAGTTTGATTAACTCTATAGTTAGGTTTGGAGTCTGTCTTGGGGAGTGTGTTTGTGTGATGGTGGAAGGAGATTTACGCCAGTGCAGTGCATTTCAATAAAACGATCCAAGTGGTGTTTTAAAATAAACCATAAAGAAATGCTCTCCTTTCCTGGCATGGGGAGGAGGTTCATATGCAACCTACAGAAGAAGTGACTGAAAAAAACCCTACTGGTAATTTGTATACTTGTGTGTCATATTTCTGTGCATCGGTACAGGAGCAAAGCAACTTGAAGCCATATGCTCAGGTTTGCAGCAGAACTGCTGGCAGCCAGTCACTGTACAGCAGTGCTTGCAGGAAGTATGAAGTGATAGCATGGGCTTTGATTATTCATCTTTATTCCGCAGGTTTGGTTTTAGTGGTTAATTTGTCTGTCATCCTCCATGCCCTCACGTCTACAAAATGAAACATTATAAACAGTTTCTGCCTGTGTAGAAGGAATACAGCAGAACAGACATCTTTCTGCTGAGCAGATCTGATGTGCTCTTTGAATAGTATACACAATTAAGCTTTAGTTTAAGCCTTACTACATCTTTAATTAGGTGAAGGCTGAAATCGACACATCAGTCTCCTCTGCCCTCAGCTTCACAATGAACACATGGACAGCAGCTCTAACAGAGATTTGATTAATAACAGTATATTCCTTATCCCAGGGTCAAAATTCCATGTGGTGAAAACTTGCTCTTCCCAGGTGCTTTTCTGAATGTGTGTTTGCTGTTGCTTCCTTTTAATTCATTTTATGTATTGCAAAATGTCTTTTAATGCAAAAAGCCCTTTCCTTTTTTCCCCTGGCAAGGCACACAGGGGGTACTGATGGCATTCTGTATGCAGCTCCTTTGCTTGGCAATCAGCTTTAAAGCATATGGATCCAACAGGTGGTTGGTCACAATTTACTAATGTGTCCAAAACCAGAGAGTATCGTAACAGGTAAAAGACCTCGAACCCAGCAGGTTTCCTCTCTGCCAGGCTGAATCCCTGCTAAGGACTGCAGAATCCTACCAGTTATTTCCCCTCAGTGTATTGACTTCATTAGCCAGGCAGCAAGGATGCTAATGTATAGGCAGGAAGGAAGCAAAACCTGTTAATTTCTAATTCTCCAAGGGACTCAGGAAATAGATAAAATTTGGTGGAATGGAAAAAGGCAAATTGGTTAGGAAAAGTTCTCTAAGGCCCAATCCTTTAACCAATAGAGGAACAGTGCAATGACACTGTACTTATGTAGTCCCACTGAAGAATTAGTGATGTGGGTAGAAGACAAAGTAGATCAGAGTTCCATTCTTTTTGAAATGAAAATATATTTATGTAGATATAAATGTTAGCAAAGACCTACACAAAATGACTTAGAGCCCTAAAATGAATTTGATTTACATTCACATATGTAGCCTGTTCCCTGCATGTACATGTGAAAAATGATGTTATGTTTTGCATCCTGTGCAATATCCTTGGAGTTAAGAACTGAAGTGGCTTTTCTCACATACAAAGATCAACATGTAGAAAGCTAGTGGTGCAAGGATACAGAGTCCTAAGTATTAAAAGCAGAGCTCATGTCCAGTTAATGTTCACACTCCAATACCAGGCTCATTTCAGTGCATATTGTATGATCATTCTCTGTTCTGGTTGTCAGACAGAGAACGTGCAGTTTCCACAGTTTTGTCTAGTAGGAATTGTGCTAACTTGTGCTAACAGTACTTGAAATACATCAACTGATGTTCCTGGCAAGCAAGCTAGCAGTCCAACAATAGAAGTGAGAGCTATGGTATCTCAAAGATTGTTTAGATCTGATTATTCCAGGCAATATTTTCTAGAAACTATACACATTTCTAGAGGCCAAGGCCCTTGTTGTGAAGATATGGCTGGCTTGGGACTGATGATGTTGCTGGTTTGAACCCAGGTCAGACTGATAATCATTGAAATGAATTAATGCTCAAACTCCATAATGCTGACTGAACTATAAATATTTACATAGATAAATAGATTGGAGTCTGCTGGTAGCTTTCATCTGGCATAAAACTGGTATTCTCAGTTCACATCAGCAAAGATCAATATACCATAGAAAGACTTTGTGGAGAGAACAGATTTAAAAGAACAGAATTGACATGAGGGATGGTGTCTGACAGACAGCTAACGGGAGGCTGATTTCTCAGCCATTAAACTGGAATGAACAGGGCATGGACACTGAAAGATACTTTTATCCTGTTGTGTAGTATCTTCACTTGTCTTGGGTAGAGAGTATATCTGTGTATTCCCTGTAAATGCTGAGTGTGTTTTCTAGATAAACTAAATATTTCATCAACCTGGAAGTATATAGGTCCAGATTTCTCTGGTGAAGTCCCGTACTATCCCAGGCAATCAAACTATATAACCCCATTAACAAACAGATCAAACTCCATCCCAAAAGCCATTGGGACTTGTCCCTAAAAATCCAACGTGAAATATGTCCTAGAATATCATATATATTGATTAAAAACCCATACTATTCATATACAGTGAGTGAATGGGGTAAAAAATGAGCAAAAAACCCAAGCAGACACTTCAAGGATGTTTTAGGGAGAGTTGGACACACTGAGTAGGGGTGCAGAATTTCATACTACCTGGCCTCACATTCAAAAAAACCAAAAGCCTGCCATTTTGTTACTGGTGGAATCAACCTAGATATACACAATCATAAAACATTTGATCTGCCTATCACTGATTTTTGCTTCTCCCATTTGGTGCGATTCAGGTAAAGCAATAATAACTGAAATTAGTGAAAGATTAGATTTTTAGTTTCACACTTCATACAACTTCCCATCTATAGTTTTCAGAATATAATGTTAGGTTTATAACAGCATATGAAGACATTAATTCTTGTAATTGTTCTCATCTCTCCTCTTTCCTGCATTGCTCCTGCTGTTTGTTACAACCACCTGTTGTCCCTGCTTATTATAATCTCTTTGCACATGTATTTTTATACAGTACCTAAAACACAGTGGGTCCCTCATCCTGAGACATCTGGATGTTACAGTAATTGCAGTATTTTTCCTATGAATTATCTGCTTAAAATTGCTGTTTCTTGGTGGAAAAGAAGGGTAGATGAGACTGTTTCCAATATGCTCAAAAATTATCCCCAAGCATGACTGTCTTGCAGGGTGATGGTGAGACATCTTTTCCAAGGGAAAGATGTCTGTCTTGGTGGTGCTCTTAGTAGGTAGAAAATGGAGTTCAGTCTCATTCCATCCTTCGTGCGTACAGTTTTTTGCTGTCATTGCAGCAATATGGATTGTCAAAGCCTCTTGAATTTCCAGGTAGATGTTTATCTCTACGCTGACCTTTTGGAGCTCTGAAGTTTTGATACAAGTTCCTGCATCCTTTCACGAAGACATTGTTTGTGTAGGATGGCTTTCTGCAGTTAGAACCCTAAAATCATGCATTTATTATCATCATCACATTTAGTGTGGGAGTTAGTGGTCTGTGGGGAATTCAAGCTGTGGTTGAGAGTCTGGAGTTCCTCTTCAGATTTTGTCACTGATTTACTGTTTAACCTTCAGTAAGCCACTTACCCTTTCTTTTCCTCCCTTTTTCCCTGACTGCAAAATGGGAGTATTAATACTTCCCTAATGCACAATGGTGTTGTGAAATATAATTAACTTGTTTAAAGCAATCTGAGATCTGCTATTGAAAGAAGAGCATATGTATTGCAATCAAATACTAAAACAATTAGGAGGGAGCAAAACAGCCTGTCATCATACACAGATCACATCAATTAAGAAATAAGGTTATCTCTGCGCTTTACAACCAGAGGAAACTAGTATTACCTGCGCTTCTTCACAGACACTGAAGACTCAATTGAGTTTCCCATTAGAGGTATCTACAGACCGTTGATATTCCCCACCTGCCGCTCCAGAGGGGCTCAAGTCTTCCATAGGTCCTGTGTCACCTGCCATGGAATTTCTCACTTCACCCGAGACACCTCAAGCAGCACTGGACACCTATATGTGGGACAACTGAGCTGAGTCTCAAATGTCTTCATGCAGGTATCAGGTTTGGATCATCCCTTGATGGCTGTTGGAAAAATTTTCAGCATCAGCTACTCAGTATAAGTTAAGCTGACGCTGCCTGCGGAGTGTTTAAAAACTGCTGCAGTTCCTGCTTTTTCTGTCCTTTCATTCAAAGAGACCAATGCAGAAGGCAAACTTGATTATAAAGGCATAGACAAGTAGAATAAGGGTGTACATTTCTGTCCTCCGTTTTCAAGAAGATATATGAAAAGAAGGGCAGTGCAACTGGGAGTTAAATGATATCTTTCTGCACTAGTAAGTCAGTTCTTAGTAGCTCGGTGTAAGAATGCTATGGAAAGCTATAATGTGTAAAAAAGTAGCTCT